GTCATTCATGCCCTTGCTATCTCCCAGATAGACTACTGCAATGCGCTCTACGTGGGGCTACCCTTGAAGAGTATCTGGAAGCTTCAGCTGGTTCAAAATGCAGCCACGCGGGCAATTTTAGGTGCCCCAAGGATGGCACATGTTACACCTTTGCTACGTGAGCTGCATTGGGTCCCAGTTTGCTTCCGGGTCCAATTCAAGGTGTTCGTCACCACCTTTAAAGCCCTACATGGCATGGGACCGGGTTACCTGAGGGACCGTCTTACCCCCATTATATCCACCCGGTCAGGCAGGGAGGGTGTGCTGTGGACCCCGTTGATGAAAGAATGTCAACTGGCGGGGTCCAGAAAGAGCTTTCTCTGCCATGGCCCCCCCATGGAGTAATCTCCCCCCGGAGGTGAGGCAGGCCCCAACTCTCTTCTCCTTCCGGAGAGCAATCAGGAGCTGGCTCTGCCAACTGGCATGGGGTGAAAAAAAGGGCAACCCACCCTGGGGGTGGCCGGCACCTTGAAGATGCTCCCGTTAACATCTTACTGACCATCAACATCTTGGAAGATATTATTTGTGTGTGTGTTCGGTTTTTATTCTACTTTCATTGTATTTGATATTGTTTTTATTGTATTTTAATATTTATTGCTGTTTTATTGTGATCCGCCCAGAGTCACTTTTTTGTGACTGGGCGGTATCTAAATTTGAAATATAAATAAATAAATACCCACTTTTGCAATCCGTCCACTTTCACCCATCCATTCGTTCCTGACCCCCTCGCTGCTGGTTTTAACTTCCTCGCTCCTGCTGCCCTGCACTTACTTCCCCAGCATGTTTCCTTAAAACAAAATGGGCCGAAGCTCCTCTCACGGGCTTCGTTTGACAAACGTGTTGTTGCTTTCAATAGACCTCAGCCAACCCACTCCCTCGCTGCCAGCATTGGCACAACTTAAAATTTCTCTGTCCATGCCCCATTTTTAACAAATCTTCTGCCAGTGGCACAAGTTCATTTATTCGTAGCGGTTGGAGAGTCACGAAATGAGGCCAGAGAGTGCCAAATGAACCAACAGCCATTTATAAGAAGAGCGGGTATAATTCTGCCAGACACGGTGCCCACGTGTGAATGCAGTTCTTCAGGCGTAGTCCAATAAATCTCAGATGGTCTGAAGAAGCGGGGGGGGGTCGGCCTGGGGAAGAGGGAGTGGCAGACCAAGGTGATCAGGCGCCGCCCTTGCCCAGAACAGGTGCGGACCTCACGGTGAAGATGTGGCGACTCTTCCCCTACGTGGAGGAGTGCCTGCTGCTGCTCCTGTGCGTCTCCTGCACCTCCCCTGCGTGGCACATGTGTTCCCTCGGAGAGACCCTGGCCGTGGCCTTCCAGGACCCCGAAACGGTCACTTACAGCATCGTCTACTACAACCTGATGGAGCAGACGCGCTCTGAGCACGGGCCCGAGGACGACGCCCAGGACGACATCACAGGTGCGCGCGAGGGCCTCGGCCGGGAGCAGGGGAGGCGGCCGGCGGATCCTGAGTTCCGTGGCAGGTTGGGC